GGTAGGTTCCCATCCCGACCCAGAGATTTCCCCCCCCCCCCCCTTCTGGTAATAGGTAATCTTCAACTGTATACTCTAATTCTTCCTGAGATAGGAAGGTGCTCTTTTGAGGGGGTGGTGATGAGAGCTGCTCTAGATACAGTGGTACTCCAGGAAAAAAGATAAAGGATCAGAACAGAGGATACTAATTTGTAATATCCTAGGTTTTATTTATTCAGATAAATAGTTTAGCCCTTACTGATTGAGTTTTAGAAATCTTACACTGACCAGGGCTTAAGAGGAGCGGAAGGACTGAAGCACTGTACAAATAAGAAATAAGTATTTGAAGGTTCCAGCTTGCTTCTCTGCAGTCAGAGGTTGACATGCAAATGCTTAAGTTCTAAGCGTGAAAGCAGAGAGGAGACAGTTCAGCAGCTTGCATAGGAGCTAGCACTGGGAAAGTCCAGTGGTACCAAGACTGCCTTTCTGACCATACAACTTGGCGTTCACTGTGGATGGCTCGTAGTAACTTTCTCAGCCAGAAGCAGTTCATCAGAACAGTGGCTGGCAGTCTGCTACTGCTCTTGATAAATGAAGTAAGTTTTGAATTCCTTGTTTCTTGTTAGTTTGCTGTAGTTGAAATTTAGCAATAACATTCTAGTGCATAGTGGTAGTTGAACTTTGGCATCTCTTATGTTATTTTTAGCAAATAAGCCAGTCTACTACACTTAGATTTCTTCAAATGGGATAACATAGTTGTTGCTTAATCCTGTTGGTTAACAACTCTTTTTTTGGTACCTGAATTTTCTACTCAATTTTTAAACACACACAGATAGCTCAGACTCACAGGTACGTTACTGGATATTGTTGTTACTGTTAACAGCTGAGTAGGGTATAGTTTCATTGACTTTAAGATGGAACAAGTAGCAATTTTGCCTATGCCACCCCTTGCCATGTGGTAGCACAAGCGTTTGTATCATCTAGCATTCTTACCAGCCTAGTTTTCAGCAAGCTTACTATACTACCGCAAAACTCCTCATGTGAGGTTATGAGGAACAAGGACTGTGAAAGAAGATGTGGACTAGGGTTTCTTCCTTATTAGCAAAAGATGCTAAAATGGTTTTAGACCTCAAATAAACCATGGCCTTAGTGTAAAGGACCACTATTAATTCCTTTCTCGCAGCTCCTTAACTAATTCAAAAAATTGTGAAGACTTAACAAGTCTATACTTGGGGTAAGAAAAACTGGTTTAGAGTTCATGTCTACAGTGGTAGCAAAGCATTAATTTAGCTAGACTTGACCTGCATTTGATACTTGTAGCCCTCTGTATGCTGCCTGCTTTGTGACAGCAGTTCATTTTTTCCCAGTATCATTTAATCTGAGAAAGAAGAGTGGCTGCCGTCAGACTAAAGGTTGAAGTATCATCTTTATTAGTCATGTACAAAATGGTTAAATTGTAGGCCATGGAGATGAATGGAGCAGACTAGCGCTGGCAGTGCTTCTGCTTGTTTCAAAACAGTTATGCTGAACATTTTCCTTACCTTGGAATGGATACAATCAAAAGCACGATTCACTGTTTATTCCTGGAATGCGTGGTGCTAAACAAAATGTTGCAGTTGAAAGCTCTGAATTCAGGGAAGCAGCAGGAAAGTCAAATACTAACAGGGGCTGGTTGTCCGGTTTTTCGGTGTGCCTGATGTACTGAGCAGCAGTTAAGAGTCTGTTCTCTCTCCTTCTCCAAAGGAAGGACAGTACCTACCTCATAGGAGCGACACAAGGGCTGTTTCAGGAGTGTTTTGAAGCTACTTGAGACTTGCACAATACACTTCCATGGAGATAGTAAGACATAGTACTAGTGTAACTTGATGGTAACTACATAGGTTCGTGTTATATCAGTTTAGTACCCTCACTGAACAGAATTTAGCAGCTTTACACCAAGACTTTTCTTAAATACACAGAGGAATTGCAGTTAACTTACAGAGGAAAGCAAAGCCAGAAAGATCCTTCAGTTTCCGCAAGAGTTTATGGGTGGGCTAAATAACATTCTTGTGACATTTTTTTCATTTATCTCTAAGTTTTCCCAGGGATTTTTTTTTTAATCAAGCCATGTAGGTGATTGTTTGTGTAGATACAATCAACAGTCGGTTTAAGAATGACTGATTGTTTTGGATGATTAAGTTCAGACGATGTACTGCAACTGAAATGTTAAATTAACATTTACTTTCTTACCTGCTGACTTTCATTTATAAGTGAGATCAGATCTCTTGAAAATGGCTGCAGGTTTTTTGTAAAGCAAACTTGATTATTTTTTTTTCTTAGCATTGTGTAGTTTTTCTTTTTTTTTTTTTAAATAAAGCATGAGTATGGCACCAAAAAGCCTGAGTGGTATGCTGGTGCTCTTTTCCTTGATAAGCAACCTGTAGTAGTAAATATGCAAAGAGTGAAAACATTCTTAAAAAGCTGCTTTTCTACAAGTGTGTTTGGAATGGGAATAATACTGAGGAAGTATTCTGTGATGTTTTGGACAATAGACTGATATTAAGGTTATAGTTCTTTATAAGAATAAGGGAGGGCCATGGGAAAATGTTCAGTAAATTCTTGAATCCTGATCTGTTAAAACTGAGCCATCGTCCTCTACATTTCCAGAAAGAATAACCTATTGTTAAACTGATGCGTGGAAAGGATCTGTTAAGATGCTTAAAGGCCGCTGAAGCACAAGGTTACGCCAAGGCCAAATCCCGATAGCTTTAAAGTGCATGCCACTGTCTGCCCAAGCAAACAATAGTATTCCAGGCAGTAATACTGAAAGTAGCAGTTCAAGCAGGTGTACTGCATTCAAACAGAAGAGAAGGTAAGACTTGCTGGGGAAAAAAAAAAAAGCTAACAAAAGCAAAACAAAAATGGCTTAAAAATGAAGGATGCCGAGACTCCCGTATTTGTGAACTACACCTGTGGATAAATAAGGGAAAACTTAAAAGCAGATGTGTTAAGACGTATTTTTAGTTCCCAGAGAACATAAAAATAACTCGGATTTGAAGACTGCCTCATCCTTCCCTGAAAAGATGAAGATAGATTTTTTGAGACTTCATATTGGTCTGCATTCTAAGCCAGTCATTGCACTCGATTTCAGTAGGCTTTCTGTCCCCTCATGTTAGTCATCTTGATTATAAATTTATATTAACCAAGATGCAGTAAAATTTCAGTATTGCAACATTCCCATCCCTTAACTGGTGAGCGAAAACTGAAACTTAACCTCCCTTTCCTGATCACTTTTGATCTGTCCAGCTGGTAGGAAGCTTGTCCTCTTAACTGAGTTTTCCCTGGGCCACTTAAATTCACATAATGAAACTGTAACTTAAGAGCTGGCTCTTCCTCATAGCGAAGAGGATACTTGGAGCTAGCGTACGTAGCCACACCAAGTGTCTGAACAAGAGACACATTCAAGATAACCTCAGCGTGTATTCTGGTGAAACAGATGCAGGGCCTGGAAGGAGCTCAACAGTATAGTTTTCATTCAGGTGAAGCTGCATTGGTGGACCACGTGTGATTAAAGCAGCTACCCTGAAGATAAAACACAATACAAGGTTCACTAGATGGAAATTATTACAGCCAGCAATACCAAAAGCTGCCAGCTGAGGGATCTCCCAAGCCAGCGACAGCTGCTTCTCCTAACAGATGAGCAGGAGGGAGCTTTAGTCCCTTCTCAAGGAGCAGCCTCTAACTGGATGGGCTGGAGCAGCCGCACCTGGCTGTTCTTAACCATTTGTCACTCTGTCGTGGTCACTGAACTAAGTCTGAGCACTGCATTTTTCTGTGCTTTTAAGAAAGTAATTGACAATGTGAAGCTTTAGCTCTGAAAAGCTGTAAATACTCATGTCTTGTATTTGCATCCAAAAATAGTCAGGGCTGTAGCCACCTGCAGGGCCAGCC